TTCTCCATTTTCGTTTCTTTCTCCCAGTCCATGTCGTCCCATGATATCTTCAAATCCAGTGTTGTCTATTCCGACTTTGGCATTTAGATCTCCCATCAGAATAGTTAGGTCCTTCCTTGGGCATTTCTCAATGATTGACTGCAGCCGCTCGTAGAACTGACCTTTAATTTCGTCGTTGCTATCATTGGTGGGTGCATAACATTGGATAGTATTCATTAAGACCCCCTCCTTCTTTGTTTTGAATGATGCTTTGATGATTCTGGATCCGTGAGATTCCCATCCTACAAGTGCATTTCGTGCTACTTTGGACAGCATAAGAGCGACTCCCTGAGTGTGTGGAGCATTGTCCTCTTCGTGACCGGAGTATAGCAGCATCTCTCCCGTAGCTGGCCTTTGTTGTCCAGCTTGGGTCCAGTGGGTTTCGCTGATTCCCAGTACTGCTAAGTTGTATCTCCTCATTTCCATTGATATTTGACTGGTCTTCCCGGTTTCCCACATTGTTCGAACGTTCCATGTACCTATAAAAATTTTTGCTCTGGTTGTTAGAAGGGGCATCGGCCTCGTGGCTTCCGAAGGAACTCGGCTTTCACCATGAAGCGTCATAATTCTTCTAAATGAAGACCTTCTAACTCCCAGGGCAGAGTTAAAATGGTTTGGATTATTTTTTCTGGTAAGCGTTTTTTTAGCGAGTTAGTTTTCCACGGGATGGGGACGCTAACCCCATGTCCAACCCTCCTCCTTTACCCGGGCTTGGGACCGGCAGCAACTTCGGTCTCTAGTAATTACATTTTGTGTTATTTATTTTTCTATGTCTGGGATTTTATTATTCTAATTTGGTCAAAGATTTACTTTAATCACCTAATTGCATGTTGTCAAGCCATTGGCGATGAGGTCGTGTTTGACTAAACTCAAGGTTATGGCGTGGGTCAGTTGATCATTGTTCACGAATGACAGTCTGCTGGAAACAGTTACTTGAATCCTTGAAGACAGGTATTTGATCCCATCTTGTTGAGAATACTTTTAAAAGGTTCTCAGCACGTTATTTTGTGCTAGGGAAACCTTTGACTACATAACACAGGCTGAACTGTTTGAGGTATTCCTTACTTTTGATATAGTTTGTTTTGTTCCTTAAATCAAAACTGTTTAAATTAAGCACAGAGTTTGCGTCTTGGTACGATTCAATTCCAGTCACTCAAAAACGTTTCAAATGTTATACAAAAAAAGGTGGTTTGGTCTAATCAAATAAACTTCTATTCGTTGGCTCTGGATTCAGAAAAAATACTGGGATTTCTGTCATTACTGTTGCTGTATTCAGGTTTAGTTGCCCACTTCTTCCATACATTTTCTCTCGTTTTTCGTGTTCTCCAATGTGTCTGTCGCATTTCTAGTTTTATTGTACTTCGAAGAAAAGCAGAAAACCAATCTTTCATTTCTAGTTGTTTCTTTATTTAAAAATAATTCATAATGACTTTGTGTGAAACATAATTGTTATCAGTAATCTGTATCGCTGTCGCATGGAATATGTGTACTCTTTTTTCACATTTCAATGCCCGAGCACAATTAATCGTAACATAGCTCACAAGTTGACAAGAATTTGTGCATTCGAGTGGATAGATTACAATTTTTGAATACCAGCGAAAACCTGGAGTCATACATAAAAAAACGTAATGTAAGCTGGCTGAAATCATTTTGTTTAGGTCAGTTAGTTTTAAGGATTGTGAACTGGATTATGGATGTTCACTTACCTTGATAACCCCTTGCTACCATTAGTTCACTATGTTGAAACTCCATGAAGCACAAACAGTAAAGAAATATCACCGCCCCTTGGCCCGGATTTGTCTATACAGTAGGATAATGCAGAACACTAGGTGATAAACACTACGTTATTCTGACTAAGAATTTTTCGTTACTAAAGGCACTTTAGTTCTAAAACCGAAATTCTCTATTAGTCTCATGAAGATAATACTAATCTTGATGTAGTGTTCCTGCTAGCAAATACTGGTCATACAGTTTAACCACTTACGTCCACAACTTGTGGAAACAGTCTATGTTCAAGTTCAACTTCCAAAACACTTGCTAGATATCAGCATATTTAAAACAGCTATCTTATAGAAGCATAGTATAGGTTCTAAGGGAACCTAATTAACCTAATTAACTCAATGATATAATTTCCTATAGCATGGATAATCTCGCTAAGTTCTGTCAGCAGTTCCAAAAGAAGGAAATAAACTTAAATACGCCACAGATATTGCTGGTTTAACAACACTCTTTTCTGTAATACCTTTATAACCAAAGGGTACCATTAGTCAAATAGGAAGTAAGAGATGAATTATTTCAATTTTATGTTTAAAAAATGTCGATATGTTGAGAAGCGTTTGACCAAAACTAAGTTTTACGATGTACCCACTCATGATCTGATGTGGCAACTCTGTCGAGCGTCTTCACCTAAGGTGTGTCCAGCAAAACTAATGAAGACAGCATCAATGTTGAAGAGCTACAGACCTATTTATTTCGCGGATCTATATACCACTACAGAATCCTAAGACGTCAAAAAGGACTTCGGAGTTTGTTCTTTCAATGGTCTCTAAGCAGCTTATATGCAGTTACTTTAAGATTAGGAAGGCCGTCCTATAATACATTCCTGCTCAATGAAAGATAATTATTTTCCTTGAAGGAAGCAGAGTTGCGATTAGATTACACCAATGCTGCATTAAGAAGATTTTCAGTGGCATTGGGCCCTAACTACACAATCCTCAGAGCTGAACACAGGACAATTGGGGAAAGAGATATTCAACATTGAATGCGGATAAAAACCCAACCATGGAGAAGGCGGGAACAATGAATAGAGTGAATTCGAATTGATGGGATGGCATGACTCGGCATTGCAGGAGCTATCCTTGCGTGTTGCTATATACCTTTTATTCATATTACATATATTGTTCTGTCTCTAGCCTCAATGTGTTCTCCATCATATATTGATGGATGTTACAATGCGATGGGTTGTTGTAGATAATAATGTGACTTCCACGTAAGTTCTTATGGATTAGGAAGTTACGTCATGAAAAATGTACGATTTTAAGATTAGGTCTATTATTAGAGCAGTATTAATATCATCATAGACCATAATTCAAGCTTTTGAAAGATCATAAAGAAGTTGTTTATAGCCCTGTTTATATGATTAGTAATTGATGTTTGGTAGACAACCAAAATTTGGTCAATATTGCCAGTATAAGTCATATATAAAAAGGATTATTTGACGTCAATTGTAGGGAAACTATTTTGAACCGAGGAACATTAAAGTTTCTATGTTTGTCATTAATATTTGTCGAAATTCATGAAAAGCGCATAAGACGTATGTGTTAAGGTAGGTGTGACCTCTAAAGATCTCAGTCAGTTCTCTTACCCGGGTCTCAGAGTGAAAATATAGAGATTATCAGTCAATTACAAGGCAGGAAATCAGATCAAATACTACCCTACTTTCGAAAGGGATTCGGAAATGCTAAGACGCGTTCAGATAGTGGGGCTTAAAAGGTTGAGCTGTCTGTCCATCTCATCTCACGATAATGGAATGAGTCGCACTAACATACGCACACAATCTTACAGTCTCCTAAGAAGTGGTTTAACATAGCCTCACCATATTTCGAACAACGACGTGGTGAGTTACTCATTTTATTTATTTCTAACGCTTAGGAGATATGATGAAGGAGTATATTCACAAGAAGTTCAAGAAGGTATCTTGTCGTAACCGGACGAGTCTCACTACCTCTACAAAGTCATGAACTACTGGAATCCTTCACAAGAATATACAATGACAATACACGTTGACGCGCAGAAATATCAATTAGGTCTTCATAGTACCCTTAATCGTTGAGATAAACGCAGGTATTCTTATCTCTTACCCCCAACACAGGAGACTGTAACTAGCATTAAATCATGTATCCTTATGTAAAAGTTTGCGATATAAATCATTCTTCCATTCATTTAGTGGGTTAGTAACGTACGTTGATGAAATGTTAATGAACCTTCAAATTCATATATCTTATTACAAGTTTGTTTATTTTGCATCGGATCATGTTTGCACTAAACATAATGTATATTACGGTCAACAGAGATGCGCTTTTTACTTAAAAAAACATAGTGACGAGGGGCTCGAAGTTTTTTAGTCACTTCTACCTAACATTTTACTGAGCATAGACAAATATAATCAAATTCGGGAAATGATTTGGATAACTATGAGGATAGTACGAGGGAATAAGATAATCAGATACCTAATTATGTACTAAACATTTCGAGAGTAAAGATGACGAAAACTGTCCAATGAAAATCGATGAATGAATTAGGTTTACATGTTTATCCATGAAAAATAATTGCGTGCATTTATATGATAATTTATTTTACATTTTCCGCATCACTTCCCACCGTCACCATCTCATGCATCATATTTGGGTGTGGACTATATCCAAATTTTAAACGAAATGCTAACCCCTTCTGATATTGTTCAACATATGTCCACTAGTCACTGGCTTCAAGAGGTATTTTCTGCAGTTCTAGTAAAAAGCAGTGACCAGTGGAGTTCAACCAGGTCTGTTGTCAGATAGTAACTCACTGAACACAACGATGGATGTGTAACTCAATTTCGTGGATGGGTTGAAGTTAAACGCTAACACCGTTGGATACCGGCTCGGTGTTTTAGAGGTTGAGCGTTCGCGTGCAAGACCTATAGATCCTGGGTTTGAATATCGCGATGCGGGATCGCTCATGCGCGCCGTTGAGGAGTCCCACAATAAGATCAGACAACCGTTCAGTATTTCCAGATTTTCCATGGCGGCCCAGATCCACTTGATTCGTGAACGCAACTATTAAAGTTTGAAATTAGTCAAAACTGTGAAAGGCTTATAGCTGAAAACTGGTAAAACCAAATACCATTGATCAAGTCCCAAAAACGAAAATTAAAAGTGAAAGCAAAATAGAACCGGTATTTATTTGCTAAAACGAAACATCTGACAACTGCCAACTACCTTGTTAACATGTTCAATCTTTGTTTGTCTACATAACCAACAACGAAGTAAAGTCCTATGCAGTCGGGGCTTTTTTGACTTATTTTTTAAGGTAGGGTTTTTCTGTTTCTCTTTGCTATATTTAAACTCAGCTTGGAACATCATCTTACTTCATTTGGGTCCTTAACCCAAACTATTTCTTTTACTTTGTTCATAAAACTAGCTTATTCTTGACTTGCATAAAGTGAATGGATAAGCAAGGTACTACATGGTTAATTAATTTGAAAGTATCGAGATGGTAGTTTTCTACAAAAAATACTTACAAATCTAGTTCCAAGGTTTTTCAAGAGAAATTTATTGAATTTAACTATGAGCATCCTTTTGGGAGACCGATTCTTCAAGAGTTAAACGATGTAAAAGTTATCTCTTATAGGATGCATGTATGATAGGCAGAAAATGAACAACCCTAGCAAACACCACTTGATGCTTAAAAATTTAGTGACTGTTTTCCCATAAGCTTTGACTCGGTCAAGCGGGACGTTTCGTGAAGCTGTTAGAGTCTACTCTTCATATTCATGGCGTCATGCAATTGTAAGTAATGCTCATCTATATCTTTCAGTGCGATAATAGTTATCCCTGAACCTAGTTATATTTAATATTCAGTTGCAAAAGGAGCTGTAACCAACTTACTGACATCGATCCTTTTAGGTTGATGGATTTGTTGGCCACTGAAACGTAAGGTAAGATTAGCTTAGACAAGGGAATGGTCAAAGTTGAGATAGGTAGTCCAAAAGGAACAGCAGTCTTGTCTACAACCACACCAGTGGCAGCTGATCGCAATGTGATCAGTCTACCATGGGGTACCCGGATAAACGCAGGTAAAACAATCTTTTCAAAGCGACAGACAAAGTGGATTTATATTATTTCGCTAGTCCTGAATACGGGTCTCGGATAGACAACAGACATCGATATTAAGACTTTCTAAAGACATAGCCAACCCTCTCTGTTTTCCGATTTGCATTATTGTGCGAACGTTGAAGGCAGCCAGTTTGAATGGTGCACGTGGTTTCAGAAATACTGTTACAGTATTTGGTGGCGGCATTCAACTTCCGACCGGTCAGTAACTTGCGATCGTTTAGATAGAACAGGGTTTGCACCACAGGCGATCTGCTGTATAAGTTGAAAAACAAGAATACACACAGTGAGGATATAATCTATACAGTTGTCTTAGCTCGTGTATCTATATTAACTTAGATATTTCTTTTATAGTAATGAAATATCTCAATGAATGTGAATTGCCTGAATTTTAATTGAATCAAGAATAATATTTCCAGTGGTAATTGTCATTTGATTTATGTATCGGCTTTGATACTTCCCGAGTGCCCAGACCAAAGTAGGTGGTTTTCTTAGGGGGCCACATCCGAAGCCTTCGACCTAAAAGTCTTATCCACAGGGCTGCGGAAAAATGTTAGGAGATGCAGTACCATGATAGCTCGTAACCAGCAATCGGTTCATATGCTATTTGTCCCTTCAGGATACTAGAGCCCATTTGCACCATTGGTTTGGAATCAGTTTTCCAACTCCCCTAGGTGGACCCTCCGTATCCACCAGCCCGATTAAAGCGCCGGACATTCGCTTTTTGTCCTCTCGATTTCGTAAACAACACCCCAGTGAAAAAGGCAGTGAGTAGGACTTTCGTGGGAGCGGCTGTATAGATGTGGCTATATGAGAGCATTTCGAGAGGGGGAGCGAACTCTACCCTCGACCGTACCAGGGTATTTGGGGACATTAGAGTATAAGCTCACCTATTAACGATGAATCGGATAGATTACTTGGGTAAAAATAGTCTATTTTACGGAAACTAAACGAGTTACTCACATCTGTCCTGAAATAAAATTCATAACTTGTACTGCTAGATAACCTTGAGTCATCACTCTTGAGTATCTTTCCTTCTGGCTTAGTCTGTCCGCTAGTTTCGAGTAACTGTAAGCTCCATCTTAAAATTGGGTTCAATACTGACTCCATATATGGGAAGCTAAGATGAAATCTTTAGTAACAAATAGAAAATTGGTAGGAAGCAAAAAGAAAGAGTTCTTATATTGAATAGGTTCCACCTGAATACTCTTGGAAGTATGGCAGTGATTAATGCTTCCTGACTTCTCCAGATAAAAGAATTCGTTTACTTTGAGAATTATCGAATGAATCGACGGTTTGGTTCATCTGAAACAGTGTCTACAAAACATGGGTGGTAAATCTATGGAGTCTATTTCTTGACTTATTTACTATCTTCACCCCGTTGTGTAAGTGTACTTGACGTTGGTTATGACTAAGAATCATTGTACAGAAGTACCTGATGGGTGTATATTTAGCTCGATAATCTGAAGAATCATTTTAACTCATTGGTGGTAAATTAAGGTAAGGCTCTATCATTTTTATGACTTCAATAATTACAACACAGTGCTAACTTCTGGGAATGTTTTTAATAAAGCCTCAACACTCTTGATAAAGGAGAAAACTCATTTTAACCTTACTCGAGTTGTTACTTAGCAACATCATCAATGTGTACAATGCTTTTAACAAAGGGAGTCAGTCATCTACAACGTAGGACCAGGCACATATATGCGTCGGTCCAAGTTGCTACAACTCATTCGCACAATATGAACACCAAATTCATAGAAGCGGTTACTTCAATGATAGTAGTATGTATGAAATAAGATTGCATATAAGAATATGATACAGAGAAAAAATTAGTTCGTAGAAAGAAAGGTGTAAAGTAATTTTAATTCCACAGTTTAAAGGAAGACAAAGTGCATACACGTACACGATTGTGGTTGATTCTGAGCCATGTCAAGGAAATAGTGACATTGTATCACTTGAATTCAGCGTTATTTTCAGTATAACTCTGTTTTGTCACCTACTTAAACGTATACATTTAATATGAAGTTTTACCGTTTCATTTTGTATTATATTTGTTTGGATTTTAAAAGCTTAATTTCAATATCTACTCAGTTTAAAATATATTGACAAGTTGTGTTTATTATCCCAAGTTTATTGAGTTCGTTAAAAGGTTTTCAACTAAGTCAGCTTAATATCTTTTATTTCCTTAGTGCACTTCAATGAGTTGGCATCAGCCTGGTCTTGATGTTAGTGCGGCTCCGTTACATCAACTTACACCTCATGGTCTATTATCAAATGAATATCTTTCTGGGTTTGATCAGAGTTCTGGTGGTATGGATTCGGAAAACGCACTCTTGACGGAGCAGCGTGCACAGTTGACAGGAAGAGAACTTCAGCAACTTCTTAGTGTTGCTCACCAAAGTTTAGATGAAGCTCAGGAAAGGTATCTAAGCTCATCTCAAGAGTCCTTTTTTAACTCTTAGTTATAATGTTGCAACAGCTTCACTTATAGGATCACTCACTTTGAGTTACTACGAAGAAATTCCTCACGTTCAGTAATACTTTATATCTACTGTAGTTTAATATTTTTTCGTGCTACTATGATATTATGTAAAACACAACGAAACGTTTGGTGCTCTAATTTGACGTCACCGCCTTATTGATGTTCATCACTTTACCTACATACACCTCTCCGGACTGTAGAATAACTTACATTGTTTTTACTCCAATCAGTTAGTCTATACTTAATAACATTGTAAAATTCAATTGTCAGCGACTTCATGGACTGATGGTATGTTTTGGTTTGGTCCTCCCTAGCTTTCTTCCAGTCCACTCTTACACTAGCAAACATCTCCCACCAAGGTAGGTGGTAGTTGGGCACACATAACACATGTCCCAACCACCTCAGTTGATAAAGGTTTACTACCTCACCAATCTGTATCCCATCTTTACATAGTACTTTATTCCTAACCCAGGGATCACTTACTCCGTTTCCCCAAAACACACTAGCAATTCTTCGTAGACACGTGATCAAATACCAGTAACCTACAAAAATCTTCTATTCCTTATTGCCTTTTTCCACACCCATAAAGTGGGTCAGAGAGAATTACTACGCAGTAAACTCGTCCTTTGGTTGGCAGACGGATATCTCACCTACACCACAAGTGGCGCAATTTGGCAGAAGCCAATAGGGGACTTTGAATCTGTGCCAGGATTTCGTCAGACACCAACCCGTCGGGACTTATAAGACTCCCAAAACAAGTGGAGTAATCGACGCACTCAATTACTCCATTCCCTATCATTAATTCAGGTGGTGAAGCAAGTCAGTACTGAAGTAATATTTTACATTCGAAGTGAGAGAACCGCATTCCAAACATGCTTGCATTGTTGCTTGAGTTAGTCAGAATACTTTGTATTTTGTCAGCTTCATAATAAAAAGGAGTAACGTATTCACGAAGTAGTTATGTTCAAATCAAACTAAGTGGCGTTGTAACTTTTGCCCGGTAATTATTACGTGATATGATTTCTAATCAGAACACGACTTATACAATCTTAGCACCGTGCCAAACCAATGACGCGTTTATCGGTACGAGGAGCCTAGAGTCCTTATTGGTCTTCTCATCTAGCCCTGCCTGTTCAGTCCAGAACACCAATTTCAACCTCAATTTTATGAATCATATATTTCAGAAATACTTGGTTTATGTACAAGCAAACCAGACCACATCATACCATAAAATGAAAAATAACAGTCATAAGAGAAGATCAAGCCAAAAAAATGGCCGTGATTGTGAAAGACTGTAATTAATAAATTGGAGATAACTTAAGAATAGTAGGTCATATAATAGTATTCGATAGGTTAAATGGAAGCTTATAATAAAAGGAATATGAATAGACATCTAATATTAGTCCATAAATAATCCCTAGACGTTGCCATTCATTTATTCTTCGTTAAGATATAACAAGTGGATTAAATGATTCTTTAACAGCTTATTTATTTATTTATTTTAACACATAGACATTAGTACAAGGAGGCACCAAATACATATGTGCCACACAAATCCCATTCGATATGTGTGAGGGCTGTGATACTGCCCGGGTGCCCAAACCGAAGCAGGTGGTTTTCTTAGGGGGCCACTCCCCGAGCCTTCGACCTGAAGGTCCGATCCACAAGGCAGTGGAGCATCGTAAGGAGATGCAGTCCCATGGAAGCAGGTGACCAAAAATTGGTTCATACGCCATTTGTTCCCGCAGGATACTGGAGCCCGTGTGCACCATCGGTTTAGAATCCGCTTAAAGCGCCGGACATTCGCTTTTCGTCCTCTCATTTTCGTAAACAACACCCCCGCCACGAGAAGGCAGTGAGTAGGACTTTCCTGACAGAGGCTATATACGCGTGGTCGTGTGAGAGCATTTCGAGAGGGAGAGCGGACTCTCCCCACTCTCGGCCGTACCAGGGCATTTGGGGGCCTTAAATCGTTGAAATACTGCTTCATGTTTTAATTAAACGTTATTTCCGAAGCAAATGCTCTCTACATTTATCTAAAGTTGTGAAACTCCTTGATAAGTACAGTTTCGTGCAATGCTCGTAAGGCTACTAAATCAATGTGATAACTATGTTTACTCCCTACTTAGCAGAATTCTTTATATCTGTTAGCAATATAATGTACATTATTTTGTTGTATAATTAGTACACACATAACTTTTTATTTAGTAGGTGAAATCATTTCTCAACATCGGTTATGCTTCTTTGAATACGTTTTTTAACTTTAAGTGTGTCTATGCTAATCAGTACTAGATGACATTACAACTGTCTGGAACTAGCATTAGAATAATCGGGTTATTGTGCTGAGTCACAATAAAGGTAACTTTCTTTAAATGCGTCGGCGCAATAAAGCATATGTTCCTTAAATGAAGTTGTTCAAATTAGAGCGTTGCTTTGTTCTGTCTTCTACACGAATAGCAAAATAATATAAAACCTAATAGCGACCAATTTAAGCCTTTATGTAATTATTTAATTCATTTGTAACTCGAGATTTTACTCACTTGCAAATATATATTTTCTTAATGTTATTCTTTGTTTTTGACACAGTTCTCTCGACATCCCATTTGTAATATTCATTGGTTGTTTGTATTTGTCATCTTTGTTTTGTTGATTTATAGAAAACAGTCATTAAATAGTCATAGATTAAAGCCTGCTCTATATAGTGTGTTCTGTGAAATCAAGGAGAAAACAGGTAGGTTTGTACATAGTTATTATTATGTAGTTGCAGAATATTTTTTCACATTTATAACGAAATTTCGTATATTTAAAACTGTTAGTCCTTATGAGAAAGTTCGATAATATGCTGCGATGACGTTTATCAAAACTATATATACGGCTCTAGTATAGTAAATAGTACTTGTGGCCTTGTGCCCTAATGATACCGCCAATTAGAGAACAGTGTCTTATCGACTGGACCAATGACGCACAAACCCGTACGAGCAGTCTAGAGTCCTTGTCGGTCCTTCTTTTTGCCTGTTGCATCCAGAACACCAATCTCAGCCTCTGCAATATGAACTATATATTTCAAACATACTAGGTTTGTATACAAACCAAACAGATCACATCGTACCATAAAATAGAAAATAATCTTTGTACAAGATCTAGCCAAAAGTGGCTGTGAATATGGGAGACTGTAATTAATAGACTAGGCATAACTCAAGAATCGTATAATGATAGTCTATGGGTCAAAATAAGGCTTTCAATAAGAGGAATATGAATATGCATAGTTTAGTTGCTTAATAATTATACAACAAAAATATATGTATCGTATTGGTCCATAAATAGTTCTCTAGAGTTACCATTCATAATTCTCGACGGGATATAACAGTACTGATAAAATCCGGAAGTGGAAAGTGCGAATAGATTTTCGGGTAAACACACGCAAGTTCAGTATCGAGTTGCTTTGTAGCATTAATCATTAGTTGAATACCAAGCACTTTTAAAATAAAGAATATTATGCATATTCAGTCAGTTGACCGCTGGTCATCGAGTATTGATAAACTATACAAATCAAACAGGAAGTCATGTTATACGATATACCAGCATTGTATTTTAAATGACCAACTAATTAAACATCATTTCTTAAATTTGCACTATTTTGTCACTTTAGGAAAATACTATCCTCATCAGATATAGCATTAAAACGAACTAAGTTAAATCTTTTTTGAACAGAATCTCTTAATATGTTGCTTTACATAGTAGACAAAAGTAGCAGCTTATAGTTTTAATGTCACAATCTTTTTGTATTGTTTACTTCTCGCAATGATGTCTAGCTCTAAGTTTGAGAAACTCAGCTGTTTCTGCTGTAGAAGATGAAGCTAATTCACCAGATCCTCAGCTTTTACGCTTGGATAAAATGTTAGTTGCTGAAGGTGTAACAGGACCTGGCGGTAGTCTGAATAATGATCTAAGTGACGGTCCTGGAGACTTGGGTGGGGGACCCGGTGATTGTAATCAAATTGAACATGCTGATTATCGCGCCAAATTGTCTCAGATTCGCCAGATATACCATGCAGAATTGGAGAAATATAAAAATGTAAGTTTTTCAGTACCGCATCTTTATAAGATTATCAATTGCATTCTAATTTATTCTGCGTAAACTAATGATCAGCCAAAAATAATTTTGTTTAGTATATAAGGTTTCCCTCACATTTGTTCTATTTTCTGATAAATAGTCATATTAAACATAAGTGAAGCTTTTTCTGATGTGTCACTAAGTACTGACTGTAGGCACTATCGATTTTCCCCTGAACTATTTTCAACGTGGTTCTTCTGGTCAGCAAACCATACATATAAAAAAGGACTAGAAAAATACAATAATTAAAGAGCTCATCTTAGACCTAGACATAAGATTCTACTTTAACACTCCACTCCGTTTAATTAGATAAGTGTAAATATGTCTTACTTTCTGTACAAACCTGATAAACTGTTGCCCTACTCCGCAACAATCAAGCGTAAGCATGTAAAATCAACTTGGTAGTGATCGATCCTTATAAAAGATCGTAGTTGTCTGCTTATGTTGTGACACCAAGTACATGTTGAATCTCATTAAACACCCTACAATTATTATTCTCACTCTAAGTTGTAAATCTCCGAAAAATTCCCATCATATCAAATCTCTGTTATCTGACATTGAAATCTGTTAGTTTTGAACATAAAATAATATCAAAAGGTCAGATAGTGATGTTGATATCATACTAAATTTATCCAGTTTTAAGATTTCAAAAACCTTATTTTGGATCACACTCTGTACTGGAACCAAACTATTATACATTATGTCCCTATTCAATAACTACTCTAATGGTCCTTCCAGTGTTTTATTGATTGTGTTCATTCTAACCAGTATTCATCTTGACTAAAGGCGATGGTAAATAACTTAAAGTAGCTCATATTTCTCCAGGTGAAATGAAATTGTATACTTTTTTCATGCCTTTCTCTAACCTACACGAGTCTATATCCTAATTAGCAGATAAGTCGTCAAATAGTAACACTTCAATTTCAACTAGGCTTTCAAAGATATGATTGATATTTGTTCATAATTTGTATAGACAGGGCCATGCCAATTTATCTAGGTGTTTGTGTAATTTGCACTTATTAGGTATTTCCTGGTAATACTAAATCTACTCTGTAGTTTAAGTCGTTCTCTGTTAGTTAGTAAAGGTTGGTGATTTTTGTTCCTAAAATTGGATCCGATCTCTTTAGAAGGCTTATGGGCTCTAAAAAGTTTGAAGGTCTTGTGTAAAAACAACTCTAATGTCACTGGTATGGAACAAAACAGCTGCTTAGTGCACCTCATTTTTGTTCGTTGTGCAACTAGCGTAGAATTTTAATGAAAGGAACTTCCAAATAATCTTGTCTAGCGAAATAACAATAACTTGGTGAATTGTTTCCATATTCTTATTTTGAGATGAAATGACCTATACTTAGTATGAACTCAATTTTTCCACTTTGAGTCATGCTGCTTTATTCATTTATCACTTTGGATTAAATATGATTTACAATAAAAACAGTTATTCAAAAGCTTTGCAACACTAAGGGTACATTAATAAATCATTAGACAATAGAGCTACAACTCATTCTCCCTTACAATTTTATAATGTATTCTGCTTTGCATAAAACTTTTGTTTAGTCTTTTCCATTTTATTGTTATCTTTGCTGTTAGGCGTGTGATGAATTCACAGGACATGTTATAAATTTATTGCGTGAACAGAGTCGTAGTCGACCTATAAGCCCAGCAGAAATTGAACTTATGGTTGGTATAATTCGGAGGAAGTTTCGAGCAATTGAAACACAGCTGAAACAAAGTACTTGTGAAGCAGTTATGATATTGCGATCTCGATTTTTGGACGCTAGGTAAGTTCACGGATGAATAATAGGATCTGATATGTTTTTAATGAATGTTAAAAAATTAATTTTGGGCGTTCATAACTTTTATTATTTCGATTGAAAATCCTGGTAGGTGGCTTATGCTTCACGAGGGTGTAACAGGCGTACGTAAGTGTTCTTAGATGCGGTTCATAGTTCCTTTTAAATAAGCGTTTATTGTACTAGAAACTTAAAATACTAGGCATCAATAGTTAAACTCTTGGGCTAGTGCAATGAAAAGATGGGACTCATTAGATCGTATGAATTAAAATAGTGAGTGGTTTGTTTAGAAATTCATGATTTTTTGGTATCTTTATTTATTAGTTCAGTTAGTCTTAGCATCTGTTTTCGTCATAAAGTAATTTTGATTGATTTTCCGCTCTTCAGAGGAATTAGTTTCCAATATTTGGTTTTCAAATTAGACCGCTTCTTTCCGTTTCCTTGTGTCAGGAGCGATAGTATAGTGACTAAGATACTTGACTTTCAATTATTTGGTTACTTATTCGAATTCTTCACCGTCTACTTCGGCTTCTACAACCGGTTAGCGTCAATAAACGTTCATACAAATATTTTAGCTCAAAGCCAGGTATATAAACACGTGTTTGGTAAGTTATAAGAAAATTTAAAAAAAACTTGGGTGGTTTACCGTTGTTAGGGTATTTCACTTATTATCTCAATCAAAACTACTCAACAATTTTGAGTGATTTACCTTGTTCACTCCCTATTGTAAAGAAAGGATGAACAGTTCATATTACTTTGATATGGTTAGTAAATTGTAGGAATTTAGATAGTGTATATGCGCCTGTCAAATCCTGGAGGGGTCACTAAAACTTTCTGAATATCAAATATAAATTATTTTTTATTTTATTTGGACACATGAATATTGGTACAAGAGAGCGCCAATATATATGCGCCACACAGAACAATGAATATTCGAAGACGAATACAAAGAAAGAAAAAAAAGAAGCTAAGGAGCACAAAAAAAGAGAGAACAATAACGAAAAGATTGGTGTAAGGTAATGTGCTAGTAAACAGGGAACGCAAAGGTACAATCGGAAGAAATCTTTCAGGTAAAGGAGACACAACCACTTTTTATGAAGAAAGTAAAAGAAGGTTACAGCAGGATCGCCACTGGCTTCTATTCTGAGCCATATCTGATAACGTCTCTAGCCACTGTGTAGCACCATCTCTCGGACCCCAACCAGGGAGTCGTGAAGGACCGACACAATCCAGTCCTTTGCAGCTTTCTTTCATACCACGACACCATGTCATGCACTGACCACCTCTCCGCTTCTTCCAACCAGTCCCAGAGTCGGCAAATAATGCACGACGTGGAATTCTCTGGGACGACATTCGGAGAACATATCCAAGCCACCGAAGTCGATGTTTCAAGATGGTGACACCAATTGAATTATCATCTCTGTGCCCGAACACACGATGCCGAACCTCTGCATTACTGACATGGTGTTGCCACTGAATGTCAGCAATTCTTCGGAGACAGCGATGATCAAACACAGAAAGTCGTCTAACGTCCTCAACTCGGAGAGGCCAGGTTTCACAAGCATAGAGCAGAACTGCTCTCACCGACGCGTTGTAGATCCGACCTTTTACAGCCAGACTAACATCACGAAGGCGCCGAAGATGGCCCAGATTGGCATAAGCCGCTCTGGCTTTCACTGTTCGTGCATTGATCTCATCACTCACACCCCCACCAGCACTTATGCAGCTACCCAGATACACGAACTTCTCGACTACGTCTATCTGCTCACCATTCAGGGTGAGTACAGGATTGGAATCCTGCCAGTCTTGTAGAAGTACTTTGCACTTCGAAGGTGCAAAGCACATACCATACCTACGGACACTGACTGCCAACTGATTAAGTGCGGATTGCATGCCTTGGGCATTATCACACAGTAAGACAATATCGTCCGCATACTCAAGGTCGAGAAGTCTTTCTCCAGGCAACAGATCCACACCGCCATTACTTACATTCATCAGAGCTGTTTCCAGAATGTCATCGATGGCAAAGTTGAAGAGGAATGGTGAGATTGGGCAACCCTGCCTAACCCCACTGCTCGAATGGAACAATGGAGAGAGGTGGTTGTATGCCCTCACTCTGCCTGAGGTGTTTGTATATAGGGCTTTTAGGATGTTAATGAATTTCTCAGGCACACCCTTCTTCAATAGACAATCCCAGAGAACAGTCCTGTCCAACGAATCGAAGGCAGCCCTGATGTCAAGAAACACTACGATCGTTGGCCTTTGATAAGAATGGCGATGTTCTAACATTTGGCGGAGGGTGAAGATATGATCAATACATCCTCGACCAGAACGAAACCCAGCCTGCTCCTCGCGAGTCAATGTTTCTCAGGTTTTGAACAACCTACGAAGAATGACGGAAGCCAATAGCTTGGATGCAATCGGAAGTAGACTTATCCCCCGATAGTTGTTGCAGGAACGACGTGAACCCTTTTTAAAGATAGGGACAACTATCGACTCATTCCATGACGTTGGTACACTCTCTAGTTCCCAAACCTTGGTAAACAACGTCGTCAATTCCTTAGTCAAAAAGTCACCACCATCTTTAAAAAGAGCCGGAGGTAAGTCATCTGGGCCAGGTGATTTGTAACGCTTCAAGAGTTGGAGTTCCTTGCGGAATTCCTCCTTGTTTGGTGGATCAGTCGTCACCGGCCATGGAGGGCAGGACAGTCTGACCGATGTTGCCGGAGCAGCAGGCCAGTTGAACTGCCCTTCGAAAAATTCTGCCCATCGTCCAAGACGTCGATGGATGTTAGTGATTGGCATCCCATCATCCTCGCAGATTGTTTCACTCACACCAGTCTTCTTGCTGCCAGTGGCTCGGATGAGCTGGAAGAGCTTCCGGTAGTTACCAGATGCAGCTGCTGCTTCCAGCTCATTAGCACGCTTCGGCCACCAGGCTTCTCGGTCCTTACGCAAGCTTTGCCCAATTTCCTCACGTAACTTCCTTCGTTTATGGTCAAACTCACGGTCACCCGGAGTAGACCGACGGGCTTCAATGAGTTGTAAGGAACCAGAAGAAACCCAGTGCTTAAAAGCGGGACGTTTCGCAAACCCACAACTGACTGTTCCCGCCATTTTCATGGCGTCATGCAATTGCAACCAATGTTCATTAATACTTTTCGGTGGAGTGGTAGCTAGCCTAGAGGCTAGCTCGGTTCGATACTTATTTGCAACAGAAGTTGCAACCAGCTTGCTAACATCAATCTTTTGGTGGTGGTCACCTCGTTGTCCACTGAAAAGTAAGGCAAGATTGGCGCAGATCAAGGCATGGTCAGAGTCCAGATAGGTACTCCAAAAGGAGCGGCAGTCTTTTACACAACCACGCCAGCGGTAGCTGATCGCGATGTGATCAGTCTGAGTCCAGGCTTGGGATGCAGAGGGAGGACGCCAGGTGGCACATCGGCGATGACTGTGCCGAAAGTTAGTGCTAGCCAGAAACAGGTTGTGGTCTGTGCACAGTTGCAGTAGACGGTCCCCGTTATCTGACCTGCGACCAACGAGTCCCCATCGGCCACCTAAACGACTCTCTTCTGTGCCTAGACGCCCGACCTGAGCATTCAAGTCTCCGGCTAGTACTACAATATCTGTCGAACGCACTTTCTGGAGAAGAACAGTTAACTGGTGGTAAAACTCATCCTTGATTGCATCCGGGCTGCAATCTGTCGGGGCATAGGCGGACATGACGAAAAGATATCGTTTCTCACGCCGATTTCTTCTCACTTTGATGGAACTTTCTAATCTAACAGCACATAACCGACTGTTAATGGGGATCCAATCGACTAGTGCTGCCTCAGCTCTAGCGCTTAATGCGACACCAACGCCAGCAAGACCAGACGAAGATGCCACAGGGTCCCCGGATAAGCGCACGTAAAACAAGCTTTTCGAAGCGACAGATGGAGAGCGAATTTGTAGTACTTCACCAGAGTCTTGAATACGGGTCTCGGATAGACAGCAGACATCGATATTAAGACTTTCCAAAGACATAGCCAGCCCTATCTGTTGACCAACCTGCATAAGTGTGCGAACGTTGAAGGCAGCCAGTTTGAATGGCGCACGTGGTTTCAGAAAAACTGCTTCGATGGTAACATACAATTTTCGACCGGACAGTGACTCGAGAACGTTTAGATACAGTCGGATTTCCACCAAAGACGAGCCGCTGTATAAGTATAAAAGAGGGTGAATAATGTGGATAATAATAATAATAATAATGACAATAATAGTAATAATAATAGTATTAATAATGACAATAATAGTAATGATAATTATTTGAATCGATTGATTGTTTTTCGGAGCGAGAAAAGTAGTTGCCATAGACATAGAGTTCATCGTTTGTGTGTGGGCTGTGATACTGCCCGGGTGCCCAAACCGAAGCAGGTGGTTATCTTAGGGGGCCACTCCCCGAGCCTTTGACCTAAAGGTCTAACCCACAAGGCAGTGGAGCATCGTAAGGAGATGCAATCCCATGGTAGCCGGTGATCAAAGATTGCTTCATACGCCATTTGTTCCCGCAGGATACTGGAGCCCATGTGCATCATTGGTTTGTGATCCGGTTAAAGCGCCGGACATTCGCTTTTCGTCCTCTCATTTTCGTAAACAACACCCCCGCCACGAGAAGGCAGTGAGTAGGACTTCCCTGACAGAGGCTGTATACGCGCGGCTGTGTGAGAGTATTTCGAGAGGGAGAGCGAACTCACCATACTCTCGGCCGTACCAGGGCATTCGGGAGGCATCAAATATAAAACTGTTTCGTAGACTAATTTATTATGAAAGATAGTTTAAAGGTATCAAAGCAGTATCAATAAATCACTGGTGTTTCTCATTCTTGTGTTTCGAAATATACCAAATTTCGTTTAAGAATCTATCGTATCGAAGACATTCATCGCTTGGTGGTTCACTGAAGCTTTGAGACCAAAACATTTTAAACATGTACTGTAATTTTAATCAGCATTCAATCATGCTCCAGAAACAACATAGAAATCTTCCATTTCAACTAAACAACTGCTTGTTTCAGCCGTGTATTTCCTTTGTTCTTTGATCAATGACTATATTACAGTGATGTGGCTACAAAACTCATTATTCTGTTGAATATCCTTCCCTTTTAGACGCAAACGTCGAAATTTCAGTAAAGAAGCTACTGAAGTACTAAATGAATATTTCTACTCTCATTTGGCTAATCCATATCCTTCAGAAGAAGCGAAAGAAGAATTAGCCAAAAAATGTGGGATAACTGTTTCACAAGTCAGTTTTCTGAAAATAATTCGCACATTTAATTTTTACAGTTTTCATTTTAATATAATATTTTGGTAGACATACAATCGTATATATATGTGTATGTCATTGATATTTGTATTCTGTTTTCACTGAAGTTCAGATTTACTCATCATTGTGTCAGGTATATAAAAGTGATATTTAACAAATTACCAAGTGATGAATATTCCACTTCTTTGGCAATAACTATAATGAAACTACCATTTAAGTTCAGTAACATAACATATCCTAATGGGGACCTGTTTCATAATTACTTTCTTAATGCCATAAGTTATCCTTGTTCATTATTTGAGAAATGAATTGCTACGTGATGTTTATGTGTAAATGACTCAGGATTCAAAGTCTGAAGATAATATTTTTTTGAAACTTAATGAATTTATAACGTTTTTGCTAATCAGTGTTGATGACGTTTACATTTGTTATAATTAAAACGTTTCAATCTACTTGATTATCACAAAATGATACAAACCAACTGCTTACATTCTTCATGACTCGAATTTTCGTATTGCCATATCCATTCATTTAGTCTTAATTCTTATCGGTAATACTTAAAATGTCAGTTGACATGATAGCTTTTATAAAGTCATTCCTACATATCCCAAATCTGTTCTGAAATAACATTATTAAGAAAAACTTGTATTTCATACTTTTGAACTATGGTTTGGTGGTTGAAAAAGCAAGTGACTTTCACCCAATAGGTCTCAGATTCGAACCCCGTTCAACCCATTTCGGTTTAGACAGCTATGTAGTATCACTAATCTCCATACAGGCAGTTTATTTCAAAGCCAAGCACATTAACCTATAAATCTTAAATAATTTACTATATAATACATCTACACTTCAAACACTATTCACATTTTTCGTTAGACTTCATCTTTCAAGGTAGAAAGTGAAGTCAGTTGTCGTTGTATTTAACTAACGTGTATTATCTGGTTTTGTTATCAGCACTAACCTGTGACTTTGATCTCTAAAACAAGTGTGTACATTTTGCTTGGGAAATGCACATTTCAGATGTTTAGATGTGGTTTCGAAGATTGATTAACCGGTTAGCCACCATGGTGTGTTTTTTAATGACTGTATCGAGTGTCAATCGATAGAATGGGAAAGTGAACATTGACTCTCGTTAAATAGTTAGACCTTATCATTAGGTGTACCATTTTTCTTCCACTTTGCTCAGCTAGTTAGACCTGCTATTTTGATTGATTGAGATTAAGTTGTATATGTGTAAGAACTACGGATTGTTGCCCTCTTCCTCCTTTTTTATGGGGCAGTTGCAGTCAAAAGTGTTCGTAATCATGTTCTTAATACTTCTGAATTCACTTGTCTAAATGATCATAACTGTAAATTCGATTCAGTTATTGGCTCGCATTTTCATTGTTATCACCTTTTCGCTTAATCTGACTAGTCGGTAAATAATAGTTATGTTAAGGTATGATAATTTTTGCATTTTTCAAATCAATTCGTTAATTACATCTTGGTACTTAATCATTGTCAATTCTAAAAAATGAATTTGAACAAGTTATTTAAAATTCTGATCTATCTGTTAAAGTTGTATTCGCAGAAAGTTACACTGGTGTAGGTTAACCTATAACTCTTCCTTCTATTTATATTATTAGTAACATCATTAGAACTCTAAAATTATCAATTGTTAGTCCAATTTGCTTTTGCTGTTCCGAGTTAATTAATATGATATGTCGTACTTAAATTTCCCCATTTCAATCATCATGTTGATGATAATTATAACAAAAGCTGATCTAGTGTAAAAATCCGTTTGCTAAAATAACAGTTATGAATCCAATTAACCATTGGACCGTTTTTCATTCCACAGGTCTCTAATTGGTTTGGAAACAAACGTATTCGGTACAAGAAGAACATTGTAAAGGCTCAAGAGGAAGCAAATATGTATGCTGCGGCAACAGCCGCGGCAGCAGCTGCTGCTGGATCTGTGGCATCTGGAACTGGTGGTCCAACATCATCTGATGAAGTTAGCACTTATTTTTAGTATTTTTGTAATAATTCGTTGCATTCAATTGTTACTTTCTTATTTAAAGATTTCGAATAAATCTTTATGGGATTTTTACTTCGAAGCTATGTGCTACATATAATGCTTCCAAAGTTAAGGGACTTTCAAAGTAGCTATTATACCTTTATCCCACTGTTTTAGTCAGTGAGTGAACTGATGGTTCAAGTTAGAAAGTCATTGTTTCGAAAGTTATGGAACTGAAATGATAACAAGGTTTTTGGGTTGTTTATAAGTTCTTCAAGTCCGGTGTCATTTTTTAACTGGAAAACATTACTTAGAGGAACTCGTCCATATGGGGGCACATTAGTTTTTTTGTGAATCATCTATATCACCATCAATAGTTTTTACATGAAACGTTGGAGTTCTATCTGTATGTACATTAATTGATGAGCGCAGTGGTACAAATGGACCGTGCTTTTGACGATCGCATTCGCGTCTGTGCAAACGAATGTATGCCAAAAGGTGGCCATCATTTCATTAATCATTAAATTTGCCTGGTTATTAATTACAAAGGTACCCCAGGAGATATAGTCCTTATTTCCTCACATGGCCGACAAAATGTCCGTAAGAACTAGTGTACGTCTCTCTTTTTTTCATTGATACGGTATGATTCCTCTTTCATAGTCACACAATGGACTCTTTCTCATCCACTACCTCTTTAAATTACTCATTAGGCATTTGGATGCTTCATGGTATTTTACACGAAAACCTAGATATAACTGTTTCGAACCTAGAATAATTTGTTCGTATAACATACTGTTGATTTCAAAGCATTTTGCATGAAGATATGAGTGTGTGTTTAGTTGTTAATAATCCGTCTTCTAATATCTTAAATGTAGGTCAGATTTTCTAATCATAAGCAACCTGAATGTTGTAGCTTCTCAATTTTGAAATTAATGTTTATATATTGCGTTAAATAAATGAGTTGGACGTTTTAAACCCAATTATTCACTTAGCATTAGTTAGATCTTAATTTCTTTTTTACATGGTGATTTATATCTTGTTCACGTCTCATTACTTTTGTTTTTCTCTTTATTAGCATTCTGTTGGATATGGTCATCCCGGCTATGAATACGATGATTCTATGAGCCTTCAAAGACCTGTCCCTCAAATGTCCTGTCCACCTGATCATGACACTTGGATGGGTGGGGGAGGAGCTGGAGTTCTCGGACCGGGTAGTTTAGATGAACCCGACTGCAAACGCAGTAAACTTTGAGTACATCTATGCGTATGCGAGAAGCTGTTCAAATAACTTCATTCACTACATTTTACAGCTGATGAATTCGCCTTGAAGTATCTTATTTGATAAGCATATATATATATGCATTCTCTTCATCTGTTGGTTTATGTTCCATATTTCGTTAGTTCTGTATTCCTTTAAAACATGTGTTTTGTAGAGGAAATAATACCGGGTTTACGCAGTAATCCTACGCAATATATACAAGCGACTATGTGTATTGTTATAGGCTGAATTGTCTCGGCTTTTTCTTGCCTTTTGTTCTATTCTTTTTTTCCCGTATTTTATTCTTTAGTATATTTATTTATTAATGTTCGTAAGTTCTCAGTGATTAAGGCCTGTATCGTTTTCGTGGTCCTGTCTTTATAATACAAATATCATGTTAATTGTATTCCCTTTTTCTCTATAATGATCAAAATGAATTCGATTTTTTTTGGACATTTCACTTGAAACATTAAAGCCCTAATAATACTATCTTAATTGATGTTGTCTCTGTTGTCGTTTTTTAGTCACCTATCTTTTACTCTCTGGAGGGGATGTGAAAGTGCATCAACTTCCCATTTATACTTTCGTATTACGTATCTTTTGTGTCTTGTGTGTTTTATCCTCTTATGGTTTAAACGGTTAATTTCTTGTCTTGAGAATTTCGCTTCACTTATTTGCTAACTATTCTCTCCTATTCACTTACATTCTTTTATACCACATTTCTTCATTCTGTAAGATGTGGGTGTGTATCTTTCAGGACTGTGTCGTAAGACGATTTTTTCTCTTTCAATTTATTTCATTTCAATAAAACAAATTGTATTACTTTCTCAGTATTGTTAATATTCTAAATAGTGGTGATTCACTAACTAAATGTTCAGCTCTAAGTTTGAACTCCACTCATCCACTACGGTTTATATGTCCAATTAGTTTTAATCGCCTTCACAAACAGTTTATCATAAAAGGCACGTATTGAAACTCATAAGCGAATCACATCATAATCTTAATTAACAGTTAATATGTATAAAATAATTAAAATTTCATCGACAATTGATATAAATTGTCCAGCAACTGTATGCTTCATTTTATTGTAAAAACAAAGTCGTTTTAAGCACTGTGAAAACTTTATTTTCAGATCGCTGAGTTTCTGTGGTATTTGACGTCTTGATACGTGGTTCTGTGTGACTTTTATTCCAGTTTGATGAGTCTAATCCCGTTATTGCTGTATATTTTCCCAGCCTCAATAGCCATTACCACTAGGGATTTTACTCAAGCCAATTATTTGTTAATTTCCTCCATATTCTTACTTCATAACAGTGATGTTAATATTATCATACAAGAAATACATTACAATAAGGAAATATCATATCTACTTAGTGCAAGAACAAATATGAAAAACCATTACTTTTATTAATTTAATTTCATCTATACTAATGATGGGGGTTTGCACAAACGTAGACTTTCAGTTTAGCCTTCTGTATAATTGTCAGTAAACGAGTTGTAGCAACAACGAAGAAAGAAACAACTTAATTGTCGAGACAGTCTAACAATTAGTGTAGAGTAAACTGTTTAAATATCAGCAACGGTTGTTGAACCAGTAACTAGATTTAAGTTAGTTTTACTGAACAATTAGTATCTGACCGAGCTGGGAATATTAAGAAAACAAAACAGCTTGCTGAGTGGTAGGCCACTAAGATCTTATTATCAATGAGATTCAGAAATCTTATTTATGTGTCAGGAAAGTGATGTAGGCTTTATCAAACTCAAGAGTTGTTAAACTAATGTGAATTGTGTCGCGATGTTAATTAGCTCCGACAGAGCATCTATAGTACGCAATCAGTTGGTCAGAAAGATCGTTTTGAATGTCTTGTTTTCCAAACACAGAAGTATTTAGTGGAATGAAAGGAATCGGGGAAATAAGATGTTTTATTTCCATAAACAGAGTACTGTATTTAAAACATTTTTGCAAATTAAAACTGATTCTATTTTATATCTTCTCATTATTCAAAACAGTGAGCACTTCTGAAATTACTTTATAAATTGTCCATCAACAGGATCGCGTTATCTACCGGTTGCATGGATAATGTATAACAACGGTAGTTAGCCATTTATTTCAGCTCAGCTATATAACTGGGAAAATCTTAATTAATTGGGTTGAATACCAATATATATCTATCCTGGCTTCATGATATTTCTCATTCATTATTACACTGGCTTCTCGTTTCTTTTCACCATTTTTCAGATTCTTTATGTTATGACTTTATGTCTGGCTTTTATCACGTGATCTATCCACCAATCAAAATACGACTTATATAATCTTTGCACTGTGCCAAGCCAATGACGTTCGACCGGTATGGGCGGTCTAGCGTCCTTATTGGTCCTATGTCCGCCTAGCCCGTCCACTTGAGTCCAGAACACCAAATACCAGCTTCCAATATGCGAATCGAATCATTTATTTCAGACATACTGGGTTTATATATCAATCAAACAGATCGCAACTCACCATAAAATAGGAAATAACATTTGTACACAATAAAGCCAAAAAGTGGATATGAACGTGGGAGGCAGTAGTCAATAAACTGAACATAGCTTATGAACCGTAAGTCGTACAATAATAAATTATAGGTCAAAATAAAGCTTATAATAAGAGGGATATAAATATACATAATCTAATTATTGAATAGTTATACCATAAGAATGCATAGATAATATTAGTCAATTAAGATGTCTCAGAAGTTACTCGTACTTTAATCTTCACTAAGATATAACACTACCTAACAATTACGTTTTATTTCTACTACTCAATCATTCTTGGAATTCTGTTTCTCATGTGATGACAGTTATTGAATTTATTCAGCATTCTCTTACAACTTGATCGGTCGATATCTACAAAATTGTTTTTATACCATACCAATTTATTCATACAATTGTACTATATTTTCTGGTGGTATGCGGTTAGTTAATTCTTTATTTTAGTCACTGAGGAGATTTCTATTAGTTGATGGTTTATGGTGAAGGAATATTTCCTTTTCAATACTGTTAGCATTTCACTGAAAGGACCTTTTAATCACTGAAAAATTCTCATCGTATTAAAACACAGTTATATGGATGAAGAATAATTTTTCATCAGGTTCTAAAATTATAAATTCAAGTTAATAATCCATAAAACTTATCCACACATCTTATCATTGTCATTATTATTATTACACTTGCTAACCTTTTTGAGAAATTTATTCAGCATCCACCCCTATCTACTATATCTAACTTAATTCATATTATTCAATGTATTGCGTAATTTCTGATTTGTGATTGCATTATTCTCTCTCTCACTCCATGTTAACCATATTTTTTCTGATCATTTATCTCACAATTTCATTTCACTTATAAACTGATTCAAGTCAACATTTCATATCAGTCAGCCAAACAATAACGATTTGATTTGATTTCATATTACAAATAGCAATCCTTGATTCACTTGTTACAATTTTAGATGGTGTACCCTGCCTTAAATCTGGCCAAGTTTATGGATTATTAGTTTGGATTGTAGAAGCTGATGAGAAATTATTGAAAAGAATATACTTCGTTCATATAATTATGTTGTGAAATGACCTTTGTGTTATCTTCAACATCACACGTATCTAAAAATATTCTAATAATTTCTCTTGGTAGTAAGTGTCACCAATACCTGTGCGATTTGTTTTCTTAATTCAGTTATATAAATCATTTAGTTGTAATAAACACCTACCATCTGTATTATATGCATATGTTTGTTGATTATTTCACATTATGTTAATTAAAATCAATTTTATAAGTGATTGTGTGAATAAAAGACGACTTTCTTTGTTGTTTAGCAAGATATAAAAAACGTAATTATGAACAGTTGCAATTGGTTAGTGCCTTTCCTATTCCTCAGTTAATATATTCTTTCTCAATATTGCATTTATTACGAGTACTATTTATGAGTTTAACTTCCATCCAGTTACATTATTCTTTTTTTTAAAAATCAAACGTATTGTTTCTATATATCATCTAACAGTATATGAATCTTACTTTTGATTAATTATATAGGGTTGTCGGAAATATTTTACTTGGGTAACGTTGAGTAAAGTTACTAGTCACATGGCTGACAAATTTATCTATTTTCTGTTCTATATTTATACTGATGGGCATTATATTTCATGGATACCATTTTACTTAAAATGTACTGTTTGATTCTGACCACAGCTTATAAAAGACTACAAAGGTTAGAAAGAACGATGTATTCAACCATATACAGAGATAGATAGACCCAAAACTACTAATCCGGTGTAGTGGAAGTATATGACATTGGATGTACCGGAACGTGGAAAAGATACTTCACTGAGGGCCTTGAGTAGGTAGTGTTTACTAAAACTATGTATCAATATCAGTTAGGTACATGTGTATATATTTTGGGAGCTTTTCGTTTGCAATGCTTGTTTATATATATATATATATATATATATATATATATATATATATATATATATATATATATATATATATATATATACAGGATCCATTGATACAATGTATACCATTTGTCTCCTTAATCCTTTTGCGATCAACTACTATTTATTCTTTGGTAGTCTTTGATTCTAATTAATAGACAGTATTGAAAATACTCATGTATATACAAAATAGATTTTTAAAAATATTTAGTATTCGTTTGGTGTTTTGGTTTCATGATAAATTGTGTGTTTATACTTCATGTATAATTCCTCTATAGGCGTCGTCGTAGCTTGATGACTGAATAATTGTCGAGAACTATGCTCGTTGGACAACTATTTCATCATGAAGTGTCGCAATTTGGAAGTGATCAAATATTCGTATTAACATACTGAATGGGCGATAATCAGTTAGCTTAATCGGGACTTGAGTTTAAATAATATTGAATATGTATCAAGAGGAATGGTCCACTGAGATAGACATACGAAGAGATAAGTATTTAATCCCAGTCAGCGTATAGGTCGAGTTGAAAACATCTTTATCTCAAAAGACTGATCATCGTACAGTCAAATTTCGTCAGGGTTGCCAATGACTGACGCTGACCGGCAAACTAGCGAAAATCTTCCAGCAGTATGGTAAATAAGTAATTTCGGGCTTCTTGGACATATCTGATGTGTTAAATCTTTTTTAGAGTCAATATTTGACAACTCTGGGTTAGGTATTTGCTGTTTTACGACCGTTTATCAAATCTAGACACTTTCAGCACATCTTTTACCACAATTAGTGGTTGTCTGTGCTAATATTTGTATTCTGTCTGCGAGAATGATGAGTCAACTTTCATCTTGTTATTCAAGTCGACTGAATAAGAAACTACAAAAACACAGTGCTAATTAAATTTCCACGGTAGTGTTGTTAATATTTAGTGGGATTAAGCCGCTTAGGGGCTAAGCAGTGCATGAAATAATTGTCTATAGATTATACGGCCGTCTAGTTTTGCTGTAAATTATCGTTCAAAATTAGATAATTTATTTGTATATAATTTGTGGTAAATGACAAATGTATAAACTATGATCAAATATTCCATGTTTTGTTTAAATCTGTTGTAACAATACAATTACATACTTTCCGCTTGAAGTTTGAGTTCTTGCTTGCGTCTTGTCGAAGTTCTAGATTTATTTTGTTGGGCTATTACAAATTAACATTAATCGAAGAAGTCCTAATAGTTATTGGTAACGTCATGTCAGTTACTTAAAAAGTCAAGTGAATGTTAACTATAATGAAGGCTAACAACTTATTCTTTCCGTCTTAAACAAAAAGCCTCATACTTATGTGACTTTGAGTTGTCATATATTCCCCATATTTTTAGAAAATGCTAAAAAATAACTATGGTGACATATATTCAGTGATTTTTTGTAACAACAAAAATAAAAACCACATTTTTCTCTAATTTGTCACACCTTATTTGTAACCACATTTTTATTCAATATCTGTTGTTTTGCTGTATCACTGGTTAAAAAAAGACGATGATAATTGTTTCGATGAATGATATACACTTCTTCTACCGGGTTGTTTAAAATATAGAACAATACTTACGCCGTTTGTTCTTCTGTTTTATTGGCCACCGCTTTGATTGAAGACTATAATAGTATTATAACATCATTATAGGCCTTCCGACTCAACGTTGGGCTTTTGGCACGGATTACTATTGTATAATACTATTGGACTCCGTCTTCCTCATTACGTCTTTGGTGCAGTCACTTGCAGAGGAACACCTGTCAACCAAGTGAACTCAGTTTGTGGTCGTTGTCCTCACGAGGCAGTTAACAAGTAACATTCATTCTATAGTAACTGTTAGCGTCTGTTTTGTTTAATATACCTTTTGTATTGCTAACGGTATTTTATTACCTTTGTTTTTACTAAC